CCACGTCCCTCCTCCTCCTCCCCCTCCTCCTCCTCTCTCCTCCTCCTCCCTCCTCCTCTCCTCCTCCTCCCTCCTCTCTCCTCTCTCCTCTCTCCTCTCTCCTCTCTCCTCTCTCCTCTCTCCTCTCTCCTCTCTCCTCTCTCCTCTCTCCTCTCTCTCCCTCCATCTTTTTCTCTCTCGACCTCTCCTCTCTCTCTTCCTCCTCCTCTCCTCCCCTCCTCCCTCACCTCAAGCACCGGCACCACCATCTGTCTGAAATTCTCGAGGTCCCCGGCGCTCCGCCCGACGCCGCAAGCTCTTAGCTCCCGCCCCCCTCCCTCCTCCACACTTTCATCGTCCTCTGACGCAAGCAGGCAGGCAAAGATGCTCCTCAACGCCTCGTCGCTCGGCCTCCCGCAGACAGCCAGCAGGTTGGAGTTGCTCATGTGCGGAGATAGCTTTCCTTGCAGCTCCCGCCGGTTCTCCTCCTGTCCCCTTGACACGAGATCAAGCAAGTGGTCCACTACCACCACAGACTGCAGCGAATCCCATCAGCTCTCTCCTCTCCCATCTCCTCTCCCATCTCCTCCTCCTTCGTGTATCCCTCCAAATCCTTCTATGCCTCCTTTCACTCCTTCCCCCTCTCCTCGTTCCTCCAGCCCTCCCTCACTCTATTACTTCCTCCTTCATGCCCCTGATTATTGCTCCTCCCCCTCGCTTTCCTCCTGCCTCCTCCTCCTTCTGTCTCCTCTCGCCCCACCCTCCTCCTTCTCCCTCCCTCTCCCTCTCCCTCCCTCTCCTTCTCCCTCCCTCTCGCTCCTGCCTTCTGCTCCTGCTCCTCCCTCGCTCTCCTCACCTCGGCGTTGAGGTTGGCGATCAACTGGTTACGATCTCGAACGCCGATGATCATCATCTCAAAGGGCTCCGAGAGCATCCACCCTCCCTCCTCCAGCTGCGGCATGTCCACCCATGTCAGCACATCCCGCAGCTTGTGCATGAACGAGTCTCGCTGCTTGTCGCGCGGAGGAGGACGGCGACCTTCGTCGAAGCCAGCTCCTGCTCTTCCTGCTCTTCCTGCTCCTCCTGATTCCTCATCCACGGACGTTCGACGATGAGAGAGCAGCAAGCGGTTGGACGTCACCGACATGTTGTCGATCTCTTGGAAGTGTTGGATCACCAGCGCCATCCTTAGCCACAGGTTCTGGTTCTCGAAGACGAACTGAGAGAACAAATTACATGTCACAGCAAGATCTCACAAGCTTGCACCAAGAGCAGATATACAGACATGCACAATCAACGGAGCAGCAAGCAAACACAACCGTGCCTGCTCTGCATCGCAAGGGGCCACAGTGCACTACTCAACCTGAAGGGTGGCTCCGTTGATGAACTCGTCGTCCCCGTTGTCATCGTTGTCGTACTCTTGCATGTCACGATCGTCACCGATGTACTTCAAAGAGTCAAAACTCTGCGTGCAGTCTTCTGCCGGGCACCCTGCGTCCTCCATGAGCCAAAGTCGGATACAATCCCTGTGGAACAAGTGTCCGCAGGGGAGCCGGGTCGCGAACAAGGAGTTTCTCTCCTCCCCATCCTCGCATGTCCTCCACACTAGTTGGTTGTCCGTGTGGGAGATCAGCATGTGGCAGAAGTCGCACATCTCGTTCTCACTCTCGCTCACTGACAGCGTCACATCCTCCAGGTACTCGCCCACCTCCCTCATCTGCGCTATGACATGCGGGACGGGGCGGAAGTACCGCAGGAGGATGTTCTCAAGCTCGATGGGCTGCGGCAGCTCATCGCCGAAGTCAAGATCGTCGAGATCCTCTGGGATCTTCGACACCCTGGTGCGGAACTGATACATGTGCTGTAGATTCCTCGCCTCCTCCTCGTCCTGGTCCGGGGCCAGGCACAGGTCGCTCAGGGTCATGGCGTTCTCCCCGTAAGTTCCGATCCTGTAGGTCTGAACGTCCTCCACAGCCCAGCGGACCTGCGCCAGACAGATTCTCTCGGGTGCTGACCACCTCAACTCCTCCTCCCTCCCATCCTCCTCCTCGACCCCTTCATCGCTCCCCTCCTCGTGCTTGTAAGGGTTCTTGATGTAGAACTTCCTCAGGATGACGCCGACATGTCCGACTCCTCCGTCTTGATCCCCCCAGATCCATCCTGGTCCTCTCACGACGACCTGCAAGGTGCAAATGGATGAGTGGAGGAAGGGAGACTCTCGCACGCTACCTTCCCACGTGAACAGTTGTACTCATCTACCTGCGTCAGCTGCTCCAGGGAGGTTGTCAACATCGGATGCTCCTGCTCACGTTCTTCCTCGGCGGATCCATGCAGGTGGCTCGAGTCACCGAGTCTCGCTCCTCTGACTGTTCCCTGCGACCCCTTCGTCAACTATCATGTCGCTGGAGGACACAGACCTCTCGCTTTGCATGAGACACGATCGCTAGCTCTGCAAGCTCGTGCCCACTTGAACCCTACACGTAGATCCTACAAGTCACCAGGATGCAAGCCCTTCCGCTGGACCAACCTGGTGCTCAACACAACTCTGAAAAGACTGTTCGCCTGCTGCACTCGTTACCCTTCTCAGGCCACCATCTCATCTCATCTAGCTTGCTCTTGCTCTCATTCTTCCACACCATGCATGAACGTTGTCTTCCTCCTCCTCCTCCTCCTCCTCCTCCTCCTCCTCCTCCTCCTCCTCCTCCTCCTCCTCCTCTCTCATCACTTGCTAGCGTTCCGCCTCTGGTTCCGCCTTGCTACGACATGTTGAGTTACCTGGCAGGCCCGGAGCTGTTAGAGATTATTCGTTACGGTCGATATGGTTCGTAACGGAAAAGCCAGATTTAGATTTCATGGTCGGCGACGGGGAAGCTTGTCTGGCCGACGTTTGGGTGGTGGAAATGGAAAGAGGAAGAGGAAGGAGAGTCTGATGGATGGAAGTTTGAAGCTCTGGTGGAAGGGAGCGTGATCTTGGTTTGATCCGAGAAAGATCTGCAAGACACATTTATCAAAGCGTCAGTTGAAGGGGAGTCGAATGGCGCCTACTTGGAAGTCAGCCATGACGGGCAGGGGACTGTCAAGCCCTGCCATGCATGTGAGCATGCTGTATGACAACTCATCGTCATCCATTGTGATCATCATTTCTCTTCTGCTCCCAAATGTGACCCAATGCAGGTGGGCAATCTGTCTGGCCTGGTGGACCAAGGGTACAAGCCGCAAGAGATAGATTGGCATGTTGTTTTTTGGATAATTCTCATTCTGGGCTTTATTCTTTGTTTGTAATTCTTCACTATCATCCTCAGATTTCAATCGACTGACGCTGCCCCAGGGTTTGCATCACTCGCTGGTTGTCCCAGGAGGAGGGCGGATGTACCCTGCCCTTCAACCTTGGAAGGTGATAAGACGAGGAAGGTCGTCTGCTGCAGTTTGACTCTTAATCCTCCAGCTCATATGAAGAGCTGGGCCATGACGCTGCCCCCGAACATGAAACCGAAACCAGGAGTGAAGAAGTCACAAGGTTGCGACAAGAAGTGAAGGAGCTGGAGAGCCGTGTGAAGGAAATGTCGTCGCGGCTCTCTGAGAGCGAGGCGAGGAATCTGTCGACAACGCAGAAGGTAGACGAGGTCTGGTCAGAGATGAGATACTCGCAGCCAGACGGGCGACCACGAAGGTTTCTCACTTGCTGTCTCGTGTTCGCATTCCTGACTTGTCGCCTCCAGCAACCGGTCAAGTTATCGTGGGGCTGATAGCACTTTGGGCTTGTATGACTTTGTCAAGCACAAATCCCCGCCGAATTTTGGCGAGCATGTTTAACGGGGTCCAGTGAATCGGTATGCTGATGCCAGGTAGGAAGGGCTTTGTATAGTGTTGTTGGGGATAGAAATGAGGGAAACTATTATTCAGAACGATCGGACTGATGCAAAGGAAATCCGTCAAAGGAGAACTCTCGGAATTCGAGATTTTCACCCTCTCCATTTTGATCACAAAGGTGTTCATCACGAAAGCAGCTAAATGTATCTCAGAAGGTCTGAATGTCAATGATTCGGTTGTAACATTTTCAGTAAAGTTTTGTCAGTACTTACTAGTAGACATAACGGGCCACTGCACAGCACCGCACCCTCACTCCGTGAATCATAGCTGTACAGCAGTGCACCATTATTGAATGTCGGCAGTGTGATGAAAAACTTTTACTCAAGCCAGTGACTCTGCGCGGCGTGAGTATCTTCGTTATCATCGGATTTAACCGTCGGGCCCGGCGTTAACTTTAAGTACCGTACGCTATCACTGACTTGAACTTTCAGCATACCGGGCCGGCGTAGCACTCAGTAGTATCTGCCTCTTTCTCGGTGGGCCCGGCCCGGCGGGCCCGTCGGATCGGACTCCGTACTAGTGACGGTGTTGGGCGCGGCCGGGTCACCGGGGTACCGTGACGGTCTCGGACCCCGTAGTGCTGGCGTCCGATCACCGGGTCTAGCGTCGCTTCACAAGAATTCTTACTTCTCCTGATTGTCCTCGTAGTGATTTTTAACTTACCTTGAGTAAAGAAACTGTGGTCACGGCGGAGCTGCTACACTCCCCCGCAAAGGAGAAAACTGAGCTGTGTGATGCGGACCGTCTTGTTTTCGGAGTTGCTACCCGGGGCCTCTGCCTCCCTCGGAGAGCCGGAAACTGAAGGGGTCATCCTGACTTGTATACATGGGGTTCCCTAGCCGTAAGCATGTCAGCATTTGATCTGGGCCGACGAGATGTACCTGTCAGCAACTGCGGTCAAATCTGGTCAAAAGTGAAATGGAAGGGGTCAAACGATGGTCAAATGAAAGAGACTTTAGAGGTCCAAAAACCCTGTCTCCCACCCATCCAGGTCAAGGAGTTTGAGTTACCCCCTACCCTATTCAATTTCAAAGTACCCATAGCTTGTTGGGGATAGTACCACCATGACCCACTCATTACAACCTAAAAATACCCCTTATTTGTTGAAGTCTTCGTGATGTACCCGTCCCCATTTCACCTTCACCCTACATGAAACTACCCGTACCCCCCTATGAGAAGAAGGGTCAGAAGTCAGCTGTGTTACACACCGCAAGATCGGTCATGGCAGGCACAGAAAAGACGGGTACTATTCACTTGAAATTATAGGGTACGTGGAGGAAAATAAAAAGTTGTTGCCATACATACGAATCGTCGCGATTGAGATCAAGTTAAACAACCTTTCCACCCCCCCACCCTTTGATCATCATTCAGCTTCACCCTACCCCGATGTCGAGTAAGAAATACCCTACCCTCCAAATGTATTCTCAGTACCCTACTAAATCCAATAATCAAGACAACCCTACCTCCCATCTTGGCACGTAACTACCCTACCAGCTGCGGAAACGTGGGGCAAAATCTCAAGTTTGTTCTTTGCCTATTGTAAATTTTTAGACCCGCCGGTAAAGCACGACCCCGCAGAGAGTACGGTACCAATGAGTACCCCCACCCTGATCTTTTACTACCCCACCCCACCTTCTCTCTGTATTAGTACCGGAAATTCTTTGTAATTACAGTAGTCGTTGAGACATGAAAATACCCCCACCCACTCAATTGCTTGGATCCTTGACCCCCACCTCATTTCTGTTTTGTCCTTTTATAAACACAACGTTTCGGTAAAACGCACAAGCTAACCACCCCCATGAAGTTGAACCCACCCCAAAATGGAAATTACGAGCAAACAAGCAAGTTGAGGGCATCTAAAAATACAATGCACCCGTCTTGTTGACCCTCAGTACCGGTAAGACAAATTTTCAGGGTTCATAACCCCAAAAACTATATGTCAAAATAACCGGTATATTGAGAATTCTTGGACAATTCATGGGTCATGGTGATCACCCCACCCTTGTACGATCTAAAATACCGGTGTATTTGTTTACCCCTACCCTCTTGAGACCTCTTCATGTACCACCCCTACCCTGTTTTGGTCCGAACGTGGATTTTAAAGGTTTCTCCTTCGAGACTCGCGCACACCCTCGCACCAGCTCCTGCTCCTACACTCTCTGCTCCTTCTCTCCCTGCTCCTTCACTTCTTCACTTGCTCCTTCGCTTCCTCCTCGCTCTCCTCTTTCACTCCCTCCTCGCACTCCTCCAGGCACTTCTCGCTGCTCTCCACTAGCATTTCATCGACGCCGCTCCCCTCTCTCGTTGGATCAGCCATGACTCTCACCCGTCAAGTGAGCGACACCTGCCTGCAAATGCACTTCAAGCCCAAATGCCAGATCTCGATCGACGACGATCTTGTGCAAGAGGATGACGAACTCAACATGTTCGATGACGATTTGTCCTGGATGCCAGCAGTGCACAGCAAGTCGGAGAAGAAGAAGGAGGACGAAACTCAGTTCGCTCCTCCTCAGCACTTCCAGAGAAGGCCAAGATCCATCCCGCAAGCTGCGCCTCTGCTTGCAGAGGAACAGAGCAACCGAGCAGCTTCTGGACGAATGTCGCCGATTATGAGGCACCGAATGCGAAAGATGTTCGCAGAGGAGTTCGGGGCACTGACAAGGTCCACCTCTGACAGCATGCTGAGTACCAATAGCGAAATGTTCCGACGATCACGGAACCGACAGATAGGACAGGAGATTTCCACCTCTGAGGAAGCGAAACCAGCGCCGAGCCTTAACCGGTTTGTCTTGCAAAGGAGTGGTGTATCCGCTTGACTTCACATTGTAAATAAATATCTTATTTCTTCATCCTTGCCCTGCCTCCCTTGCTACAACGAGCATAGTCTAGTCACCCGACCTGTAACTCTGACATGGTGGGAGCGGACAACAAAGCTCTCGAAGCATGTCTTGAGAAGCCTCTCCAGGAAGTCTACATACTCGTGGGAAGACCAGGATAGCTTTGAAGGTCTAGCGGAAGCAGGTCAGCGGAAGCATTCAGGAGGAGCTAAGAGAGACGAGGAGATAGGCAGAGAGCAACAAGAAGTAGACGTGCAGAAAACAACAAGAAGTAGACGGAAGAGAGGAAAGAATGGAAACAGCATCTTACCCATCTTGTTCTGGCTGGCCCCCACATCTCCCCTTGTCCTGCGTGTGCTGCAGAAGTTTGTAACCCTTGCGGTCGAGAAGCTTCCGAGCAAGGGTATCCTGACAGGCATGTCAGAGGAGCAGGAGCAGGAGCAGGAGCAGCAAGAGGAGAAGGAGCAGGAGCAGGAGCAGCAAGAGGAGCAGGAGCAGCAGGAGGTACAGGGCGGGTGGATATAAGAGGTTGAGAAGGACAAGGAGGAACAGAAGATCGCAACAAGACAGAGGGAGTGCCGGTAGGAAAGATTCTTACATGCTCTCCATCGTTCCGTACAATCAAAGCAGCATCTCCTTGCGACATGGACACGCTGGCAGCTGAAGCAAGTAAGATAGATCATTCGAAGAAGAGGAGAGGAGGAAAAACCGATTCGAGAGGACATGTCCTTGCCAGGCACGCTAATGGCAGGAACCCCTTGCCACATGATATCTGTAGGGGTTTCAGAGAGGAGATCGAATGGGAGCAGATGGGAAACCAAGAAGACGGAAGGAGAGGGGAGAGGGAGAAGAGAGACGGAGAGAGGAGACTGACGAGAGAAGAGGGAGAGGAGGGAGAGGAGGGAGAGGAGGGAGAGGAGGGAGAGGAGGGAGAGGAGGGAGAGGAGAGAAAGGGGCTGAGGAGAGGATCTGAGGAGCCCGATCGGCTGGTCCTTCAAGTATCAGGAGAGCTGCTGACCTGTTTGCGCCTCCGAGAATAACTGAGCGCTGAGAAGGAGGGAGACTCCCTTGCTATCGCTGGCCTCCTGATAGCTCAAGTCTCAGCATCGCGGCAGGAACCGAAAGCTCGCCACCGTTGTTGTGATGAATGTCACGGATCCTTCCCTCATGTTCAACTTGTTTGCGATCTTCATGATCATATGTTGACCCTGGCAGGTCGTCAGACTGACAGCAAACATTCATCTCCCCTTCCTCTCCTCCCTTCTTCCTCCTTCACGAATCTCCTCACCGAGAGGGCGGAGAGCAGGAGCGTCGAGTTGGTCGACTTGGTTGTCTTGAGCATGCTCTTCAGGGCATCGAAGTCGAGCAGGGACATCTCGGCAAAGTTTGCAAGGATGCGATGCTCGGGTTTGAACGCACCGCCCTGCTGATGACGCAGGGGATGAAGGAGCTGAGAGGACGAGAGTCAGCACATGCGCTGGATCTGTGTTGTATGCTGCTGGTTCATACCCGATGAGACGATGGCATGAGAAGAAGTTTCTCCGAGAAGAGAGGGGAGAGCTCGGGCGGAGTTGCGACGCGATCGGAGACGATGCCGTGGAAATATGGCTGAAGGAGGAAGGGAAGGCGATGAGAGCAGGGGGACAAGGACGAGGACGAGGACGAGGACGAGGACGAGGACGAGGACGAGGACGAGGACAAGGACGAGGACGAGGACAAGGACGAGGACAAGGACAAGGACAAGGACAAGGACGAGGACAAGGACAAGGACAAGGACAAGGACAAGGACAAGGACGAGGACAAGGACAAGGACAAGGACAAGGACAAGGACAAGGACGAGGATGGTCGAAGAGCAAGAGAACGAAGAAGTAGTGATGGTCGTGAAGGAGTAGTGGAATAGGAGTATAGTGAATGAGCAAGGGCACACACAAGGAGAAGAGGAGGAGTAGCGGGGAGATGGTGCGAGGGGTAAAAGTCAGGTAAGACAATGCGTGTAAGACATCTTTACCGCTCCAGTTGTCATGGGATCGCACATGAAGGAAAGCTGATAGTAACACTTTCAGAAAGCCAGAGGAAAGAAGGAAGTGATAGGGTAGAGAGGAAACAAAGCAGAGAGATGATATGAAGAGAGGGAGAGCAAGAGAAGAAAGGGGGGGGGGGGGGGGGGAAAAATGGAACAAAAAAGGGTAGTTTAGGAAAAGGAAAAATGGGGGAAAAAGAAGAGGAGGAGGAGGAAAAAGCC